AAAATTTTTTTGATATAAATTAATTTAAGAAACCATAATAAATATATATTTAACCGTATGCTGATGCTGTTTAACACAGGCAGAGATTAGAAATTTTCTAAATAAAATACTGGTTGAACCGTGGTCCGCCAGGTTCATTCCGGTTTGAACGGTACCAATTAAGCGGTTCTAGAATCACTTCAAACCGGAAGCCTTGCGGATTTCTGGTCAGACCAATTAGTCCAATCCGAATAGGTCAGAAGCATGTAAGTAAGAGGGTTAAGCTTAAGACGACCCACAATGGGAATACCTCGTCAGCTGAATCCCCTAAGCAAGTGTAACCCCACCTTGCAATTGAAAATGTTAATTTATGACAATTTACTAATTAATTTTGATAGAAATAATAAAGAGAAGAAAAATATAAAAATATATGAAGAAATAAATTCTTTATTTTTTAATTTCATTGAATATATAAAGTGTTTATTTATGATTTATACAAAAAAATATTTTATGATATAAAATCAATTAATCTAATTATATCAATTAATTAAAACGTAAACCCAATTAACATAATTATAAGGTGTTATTACTTGTCTGTTTTATTTCTAAAAAATTTTAAAAAAATTATTTCAAAATTATTTCATTTCAATAAAGCATTATAAGAAAGGAAAAAAAATACTATAATTTATACTTTAAAAATAAAATATTTTAATTTTTTTTAATAAGTGTTTATTAAAATGATGTAATTTTAAAATAATATTTCTCTTAAAAGGGATAAATACTATTCCCTTATAATATAAATATTCTGCAACAAATTTATTGCAAACAGCATGCCATAAACAACCCTTAATTGAAATACAAGATTGTTTTGTCAAGCTACGAACCAGAATACAAATGAATGTGAGTAAAAACTAGGAATTAATGTATAAGAAAACAGCTAAATTAAACAAGGTATTGTCGTTAACCCCTTTCCTAGTTTACCAGATTTATGCACTAATGCCACTGTTTAAGACGGTATTGATCTCGCCGATGATGTTAACTGGTCTTCCATCGAACATGGATGAGAGAGTACTCTCACATAGCTTCTTCAGCTCCCTGGTTTTTGTAAGAGCAGCTTCCTGGAATCAAAAAAGCATTTGGGCACTCAGTATTCCTTTTATGAACAAATCAACCATTACAAATAAAAGAAAAAGAAGAGGAGTTGAGCATAAATTAATTTAGAGTTTGTTAACATTTTTACACTCAGGTTAGACAATTGAAATCAACTTGGCAATCCTGTCAATGGTTTTATGAAGTTAAAAAGACTCACTTGCTTTGGCCAAATAGAAGATAAAGAATTCTGAAGCTGCATGCGTTTGGTAGCCACATCCTTCAGACCCTCTTTTAATTTCACTTCATGATGCTTCTTTTCCTCCAAAGTACTTACCAGTCTATCTAAGAATCTGAAATTTGAATGAAAGAAATAGAAACTTGCCATTGTTAAAACTTTGTTAAAATGCAACTTGGCCTTGTGTGAGCATGCAATGCAAGCATCTTTGTGGTGTGTCTGTGAGAGAGAGAGAGGGATTTCATTCTTCAACCCTCACGTTTTATGGTATTTCAAATTTTTAATTTGACACCCATCCCTTTCTTTAGCTAGTTGAGTTTTGACTTTGGAGACCTTTATAATTGTTTCCATTGGATTCAAACATTGGATTTACCCCTTAAATTGGATAGAAAATCAGCAAAAGATAGACTAACAACTGGACATAAAAAGAAACAATTAAAAATGTTAATGACCAATTAAAATTCGCTATGACCTTTGTGTATAAACACATAAACCATCAATAATGTCACAAATAGGTAAAATAATATACTCTGTGAGCTACCATCAATAATTCACTATGGTAACATATTATACAGACAAGGATCTCTCTAATGAGGTTGCAGTTTTTTTCAAGTGATGGATTCATGGTAAACATACAAGATGAAACAATAAATGAATGCTCATTTTACTACGTAAACATTAATTAGAAGGAAAACGAATGATTCCTAAAATGAGACCAATATTTATGAAATTGCTATTTGTTGTTGTCCAACCTCTCAATAATAATGAGCTTCAAAATGTAGCAACAAGTTCCAAGCAGTATTGATCTATTTAGTAGTTTGCCTAATGAATGGTAATAATTTGAGCTAATTTAAGAGGTAACATATATAGCTTTTTGCAATTTTCAAAAAAACAAAAAGTTGTCAGTATAACTTTGTGCATGTTTAACTTTTCTTCCTGTTAGGTAATAAACAATGGTATCAGACAAGGGGGTTGCACTCAGCTTATCCTACCATCTCCAGTTTCACCAGTAATGTTAACCTAACATAAAAAACGCATTGAGCAAACCTCTATTGAAGACACAATTAAAGAAATGGAAGAAAAGGGAAAATGACAATCATCATGGGCAGTACCTTTTAGAGTTTAGAATCATGATTAAATCTCTTGTTTTCCTGTTCGTTAGCAAAGAAATTGCTGAAGAAACCTCAGACATCATTGTTTCAATGGCATCAGGAGCATACTGCTGCAACACCAAAGGAGAAACAGTGTGGACTTGATGTTGCAGGGACAATGTCTCTTCATTCCTCAACTCCACCAATCGCTGGTTCAAAAATGCTTTTATCTGATAACATAGGAATAAAAACCAAAAGTAAATAATCACAAAAGTAATCAATATGCCATGAGACAAGTTAGAAAGACAAATAATCAATTCAGACATACCTCATACAAATCATCAAGAATCTTATTCCTGTACTCTGTCTCCAAAAGCCGGCTTCTCTCCTCCTTAATTTCTAGATTTTGAGTTTGAGGTAGGGTATCTGGAACATATGTCTCACTTTCAGAGGGTACATTTGGTAAGCTGACATCATCAATCACATCAACTTGAGGCGTTTCAACACTAATGTCCCAGGATATATCTGAAACAGAAATCTGTGGAAGTGTGCTATCATCCATTTTATTTAAGGGGGTTTTATCAGATTCCATAGCTTCAGAACTCTGCAAGTCACTTGCATTAACCATCTCATACGGACCCAAGCCGTTGGCAGAATCATCTGCTTCTTCCACTGTACCTATATCCCAATTAATCTGAGCACCTTCAACAGAGATATCCCAGTCAATATTATCTGCAATGACATCCATGCCACCCATCACTTGGATTATTTCATTAGAGGTTGATTGACCATTAGCTGAATCAAGTAAATCTGAGGCCACAGAAACATTCAACGATGGTGGATTTTCATGAATGTCTTTCAAGTTTGGCAAGACAATAGACAGAGACTTCTGCAATCATATTCAATTAAATGAAACAGATTACAATTCAAATTCCTTCTACAGACAACAAAAATACAATATATTTTAGCTGAAAGCAAACTGCAATAAACAAAAGCCACATCAAATTTTCGACAGATGGCTTACATCTTTTTCAGTGTGAGCATCTTTAACAAAATTAGAATAATATTCCATAGCACGTGAAACAGAATCACTGTTTAATACTTCCAGAATTCTGCTAAAAGTGCTTGGTAGTGAATTTGCAGTCTCCAAAAGTTCAAGCCTGACATTTTTTCCCTGGAAGGAAGATCAACAGCTGTCATTTTCAGGCACAGATTATAGAAGACTAGATGTAAAGACGTAAGGGAGTGAAAAAAAAGCAGACAACCATCTGGAGAAGCAATATTACAACCTGCAATCCAAGCTCTTGGCAAGCTTCAGCATATTTAGAAGCTGACAGAGCAGCACTCCTTTTTATATCAGCTTCCTTACGATCAAGTTCTGCCAGTTGTTGTTGAAACTTCTGCACCTGTTTTTTCTGATATGGGCTACACAATTTAACAACAGTCAATCAATAAAGTGCATCAAATTAATAAAAGCTAAACACCTTTATCTTCGTGTACTATTTCATCAAAACTATGGCACCAGCATACACTTACATTTCATAATTTACATTTTGAACAATTATCTGAGCAACCTCACCAAGGAAAATATGATCTTTCTCGAAAGAACGCACAATTGCCTCCCAGGATCCCTACCAAGAAAAAAAAAAAAATCACAATATTAAAGTAACATTAAAAACCCAGAATTTACAGGTGCTAATGTGTATTTCCAAGCCAAGAGAGAAAGATTCTCTTACAGCAGCACCCGATAGCCGGCCAAATATGTTCCTGCTTTCTGGAGTTGACTTAAGAAGTATGTCATATATCTTTTTAGCCTCTATGTAACCAATCCCTGGAAACATTATGCCATTCACCAGATAAGCTCACAAGCACTTAAAATTTCCAGGAAAAAAATGAGAACCAAACAGAATTTCATAAATCTATTCCATCTTAACTTGAACAAGAACATTGAAATGAATTGACTGACCTTCAGGGTCTAGGGTTTGAAAATAAGGATCGATATCCTTAGGCAAGGACGTGAACTCCGTCGAAATTTTGGCTCTTATAGCCGCCAATCGCTTTCGCCAATCGGACGGAATTCTCTTCCGATCAACCAACCATTCTTCAATTGAGAAGAAAGAAAGAAATTTAAACAAATTATGACATTACAGCTTGTGTTGAAGAAGATGATGAAAGTGATTTCTTCCCTTACCTCCGAGACGTGAAAATGTGATGTCGATTGGGAGGTTACGGATGTCGTCGGCGGTTGACATTTTCCGGGGGAAATCCTTTCTCGGGAATCCTCAGTTGCCGACTTATGAGTTTCTGCAGCCAGTGGTGGTTTTGTTGGGCTGTGCAGGCTGTGCTGGTAATGGTGGTGCGCTGACTGCAGCTGGGCTTGCTGCCTCAAAGACACCCCAGTTCGGGGCTAGTTTTTGGGTCAATTCAAAGCGGCTGAAGCTGGGCCCGCAGTCTGCTTGTTAGCAACCCAACCCATAAAAAATTTGAGTCCTTTGTTTTCCTGAACTATATTTTTTTTTAGTACATTTCAATAGGTTATACAAGAAGAGGTAGTTAACCCTTTTTCTAAACCCTTTTTACTCAATTCAAAATTCAAATTTTAGATTTTTAACCTGAAATTTAAAACTCTTAATTGTTGAACCACCTATTTATGGGTTGTTTTTTTTTTTTTTTCCCTGAACTATAAAACAAGGGCTCTTGATAATTTGATATCGAGGTATAGTTCCCATTAGATGTTAAATATTGTGCGATTTAATATAATTCAAATAATATAACATTTTTTAGTATACATTTTTTTTTAAAGAAAAAAGAGTTTTGCATTTTTAGAAAGTCCTAACATGCTAGGACTTCCAGATTTTCCATTTTGCCAAGAAAAAAATATAGTAATAGTTTAACTATTAAGAACTTAAAATTTTAAATTGAAAATACAAAGTTTAAATTTTGGTACAGTTAAGGATAGAGGAGTGCAAGGAAGAGTTATTATTTATCATATAGTCCTTTATTTGATATATCCTAAAAATAATTTGTTTTTTAACCTAAACTATGTATTAAAAGTGTAGTTTGAAAATTAAAAAAAAAAAATTTAAACCTCTAGCATTATAAGAGTAAGATCATCATTTCAATGTCAGTAATGTTATAGTTACAATATCACGTAGAATTATAAGTTTACAATTATGATATATTGTTAAATGAGTGATTGCATATAATATCATGAGTGAACCCTTGGATGAAAAAATTTATTATCTAATGATACATTATACTGTAAACTTATAATACCAAATGATATTATAACTATAGTATTTTTACTCCAACATATGGTAGTGCCTTAATGTGCACCAATTGCCTATGTAAGTTTTCATGAAAATGTTGTAGTTATAATACTTCAAGGTATTATAAATTTATAACAT